AGACTCAGGTGCATAAGTGCACACACACACATAAACACACGGGTGAATTGCACAGAGCCTATAAAGAACATACCCTGGTCATATTTCATCCCAGTTTCTAAAGACATAATAAATAATGATTTGCATAAGGAAAATTAGGTTTATTAAAATATTTTGATTGTGACTTTTCTATGCTTTTATTTATTTTTTAAATCAATGCAAAATATTTTTTCTCATTACCGTAGTGCAAAGAAATTATTTATAATAATTTATGCAAATAAATTGTATTATTTACCCAATATTATTTATTTATTAATTCTGATGATTTGTATTAATTTACAACCCCATGGCAGTAATGAGAATTTTATTTCACTTTTTGCATTATGATAATGAAATTTGGTTGAATTTTTTTTAAATCGGAATAGTCATAAAATAAAAATATATATTTAAATTTAAAAATATATTAAAATATTTTGCATTGTTATGAAAAGTTATTTTTCAAACAATCAATGCAAAATATTTTTACTCTCAATACTGTAATGCAAAAATAATGATATATTATTTAATATGTTAGTTTGCTTGTTAGTTTATTTATTTATTTAAAAAAATTTTAATATCCAATTGCATTACAGTAATGAGATTTTGAAAACTTGGTCGCAAATGTGCTTGTGTCATTAATTTTTTTTTTTATCTAAAATAGGCTTTGTTTTCTTTAAGCAAAATATAAGTTCTTATTATTTTCTCATGAGTTTGGGTTGAAATATGAACTGGACATGTTCGTCTTGAGCTAGTATTACTGTACAGTAGGTGAACACCTTCCAAAACCCATCAGTCACTGACACTGTTTCTCTCTCAACCTCATTACAATAAGCCATCAACCAAGGTTCTTTAAGAGTTTGAGTTTCTGGTAAATGATAAATATTACATTTAGGAAGGAGAAAGCAGAAAGGATCTCTCTTGTCTTCTTCATGTTGCCCTCTCTTACTTTCATTCTCATTTTCTCTAAAGCTCAAAAGCCTCTTTTATGTACATGTCAGACCGGGTTAACCACACGCCCCCTTTTTCCAGACACACCCGGCTGGGCACAGAGGCAGACTGTGTGTATATTTAGGACGAGACGCACACACACCGAGTAGTCATGACGGCAGGCGTATGACAAACACCCTGCTCCATACATTCCTTTAAAGTTAGTATTATTCAAATTTAGCACTCATGTCTCCACTATTCACACTAAAAAAGTAAATTTATGATTATATTAAGCCTTTATTTAACCAGGAGAGAACCTCACTGAGATTAAAAATCTCTTTTACAGGAGTGTCCTGGCCAAGATAGGCGGCCCAGTTATACAAATAAATGCATGACAAACAACAATACATCACAACAATAAAATATCAGCATTAGAAGCATTTGCAAATCATTAAATCATTTTCTATTGCACACAAAAGTGTTTTAAAATTACTAAAAGACACCAACTGATTTAGCCGCAGTTTCATTTGAAGAGAGTTCCAGTCTGACGGTGAGGCATATTCAAAAGCAGTTATACCTAGATTAGTTCGAGCTAAAGGTACATGGAGATTATAATAAAACCAACTAATTTTAATCCGTAATAAATCTTAAGGCACCATGATACACAGCTTCCAGGGAGGCAAGATAAGAAGAGGCATGCTGATACACTACATCCCCGTAGTCATATATATAAGCATAGATATCTGCTCCATATGCTTAAAAATCAAGGTTCTTTGCATCAGTTGTTCCATAAAGAACCTTTAACATCCATAGAACCTTTTTATTGCACAAAAGATTCATTTCTTTAAAAAAAGTTATTTAGTATGGGATCTCGTTTCCAACAAGGGATACAATAAAAAAGGTAATTGTGACTTTTTATCTTAATTTAGGCTTTCTTTCTCACAATTCTGAGATAAAATTCTGAGAAAAAATATGAATTGTGAGATATAAATTCATAATTTTAAGAAAAGTTTGAATTGTAAGAACAAAATGTATAATTCTGAGAAGAAAATTCTGAATTGTGAAGTAGAAATTCGCAATTTTGAGAAGAAAAGTCTGAATTATAAAATTGCAGTTGCGAGAACATTTTTTTCTGAATTGTCAGATATAAATTCATAATTTTGAGAAGAAAATCTGAATTGTGAGGTAGAAATTTGCAATTGTGAGAAAAAAAGTTTGAATTGGGAGATATAAATTCATAATACTGAGAAGAAATGTCTGAATTGCGAGGTAGAAATTTGCAATTGGGAGATATAAATTCATAATTAAAATACAATTTTAATTGTGAGAAATGAAAGAAATGTCTAAATTGTGAGATATAAACTTGCAATTGCGAGAGAAAAAAAATCTGAATTGTCAGGTATAAATTCTGAGAAGAAAAGTCCAAATTGTGAGATAAAAAGTCAGACTTACCTTTTCATTTATTTTGTGGCGGAAACAAAAATAAAAACAGAATTGCAATATGTGAACTCAGAATTCATAAAGAAGCCAGAATTGCGAAATGTAAACTTGTAATTGTGAGAAAAAAAACAGAATTGTGAGAACAAAAGTTGCAATTACCTTTTCTTTAATTCTTTTAATTCTTTAATTTTTTTTTATTACTCTGCAAAAATAAGCTACCATAATTTTGATATTAAAGTGCCCCTATTATGCCATTTCCAATATTGCCTTTCATGCAGTGTGTAATGTAGCTGTATGTGAATGTAAACGATCTGCAAAGCTGTAAAGCTGAAAGTGCACAATAAATAAAGTTATTGTCTCCCAAAATAAAGAATCGACTCTGAACAGCTGAAACAAGTCGTTAGTAATTCGAATCCCACTTCCGTGACGGCTACATGTCACGGGGTAACACATTTGCATAATGCGCAACTATGTTCTACGTTGGCCGGCCGCGAACAACTTGACCCCGCCCCCAAACACAGACTGCTTCTCTAATCTCGGCGAGTTCAACGCGGGATTCACAAAACGCATGCTGTTGAAAGATGGATCAGTATCCTGTTTATTTGGATCAGCTGCTGCACTGAATCACAACTTGTAAGTATGATAAATAATAGATGTTTAAATTTTCTATATAGTGTTCAAAATACAGAACTATTGAAATAGAAGTATCGTTTCTGAAACGCGCTGTACACCGTAGACCAATCACAACAGACTAGGCCATCTGACCAATCAGAGCAGAGCAGGCTCACAGAAAGGAGGGGTTTAGAGAGACTGAAACTTTGAACTGCTTCGAACGAATCGTTTGAGAATCGCTGGAAAATGAGCAGATATTAAATGCATATTTTGAGAAAACGAAAGCGTTTTTTGACATTGCATGCATATAATCCTATTGTAGGAGACTCCCAAAACAATATTAGGAACCATAAAAATGGCATAATAGGGGCACTTTAAAATGTTTTAATTATTCATAATTAAAGTAAACTATGATGTTAAACCTTTCGTTCTAAAACGGATAGCTACGGCTGATCTGATTGGTTAAATCCTGCTTGAAGTCCTTGTAAAATAGCTGATATACACACACACCTGTGATTACGGTGACCTTACGTCCTCTTTTTCCTAAACCAACATGCCCTGGCCGGGATTTCTAAATTGACTTAAATTGCTGTTGTTGTTTTCTTTGTTTTCCTATTGTTTTCATACTTACTGAAGGTAATGACTGAAAAGTAGTTTGACAAATAGCATGCAGGCATTGTACATAATCGACCAATCATGGTGTGCAAGAAGACAGGATCTACAGAGAACAGTCAAATGCAAATACACATACAAAAAACGTATGAGGACTGTAGAGAGACTGTCGATAAGGAAAAAAAGCACAAATCCAGACATTTTAGTCCATTTAGGCCAGGATGTGTCTGGGAAAAGGAGATGTAAGGTCACCCTACACCCTACACCTGTGACCTACATCAATCGAAGCCTATAAGTCTATATATCAATAACATTACCAGAAGTAAAATACACCAAGTAAATGGTTCCCAATATAAGTGATTTCTCTGTCACTCATGACCTCAATAGTGTGAGGTCAGTCTGAAATATCCTGGCACACTCATTTGATAGGCAAACGTCTGATTGTTATGGTTTAGCTGAATCGTAGCGAGGCCTGTGAGCGCTGAGAGTGTGTGCGATATTCATGCAAATGTCCTACTGTACGACCAGGGTGTTTACATATCATACAGTGACGCTCTGTCTGTCATGTCAAAGGAAACAGGATGTGATTTCATAGAGGAGGGAAGAGCCATAGAAACACACAATAAACCACATCCATACACAACTACGTTACAGATACACATTGGGCCTTATACAAGCAGAACGAATCTGTAAAACTGTTCTTGCATAAATTGTTGCATTGATTTCACTGCAAAAATTAGAAAAGGACCTAAATTTAAAAACAAGCATTTGTAGCTAATTTTTTTTTACCAACTTAATAAAGAGTATAAAATATGTTAAAGGTGCTGTAAACTATTTTATTTTATATCTTTAAAGTAAAATAATTTATTTTATTGTATTTAAAGTGAAATATTTTATTTTATTTCAAAATTAGTATTTTTTGTTTCATAAATATGGCTCATCATATTTGTTTTAGCGCATACAGTAATATACCAACTTATTAAAGCATATGAAACATGTTAAAGTTAAATATATATTTAAAGTAAAATAAAATAATTTTTATTTTACTCAGTCAAGTAAAAAATATTTTATTGAATTTAAATTAAAAATTATTTTTATTTAAAAACAAGTATATTTTGTTTCATAAATAAGGCTCATCATATTTGTTTAAGCATTTTTTAAGGATTTTTTTTACCAAAACACGTTAAAGGTGTTTGAGGTGTTTCATACAAAAAAATGGCTAAAATCACCTTGCTGAAATAAAATAATTTATTTTTATTTTACTTTAAAATAAAATTAATTATTTGATCTTACTTCAAATATTTTATTTTATTTTATTTTATAAATGAAGCAAAAAGGATGAAATAGCTCACAGTACCTTTAATTCACAAATAAATATGACGTTTACTTACCAAACAGGGTTTTGGCACTGATCTTGCTGTCCGATCTGGCCACCCCACTGCGAAGAAGAGCAGAGGAGGATGAGGAGGGTGGAGGACGATGTCTGCTCTTCATTATTTTACAGCTTAGTTTTGATTTAAATACTCTAGACGGCACACACTCACTCTCCTGGTCTAATGTGAACACTGGACACAGATTGAGCAAGACTGATTAGAAAGATCTACAGGTTGTGAGAGCATATGGGAGTGAGGGAAGGGGGTATAAGAGAGAGAGAGAGAGAGACAGAGACAGGTTGTTTCCAACAGGGCAGGAAAGGCAAACATTCCCAAACAGTGCTGCTCTGTTAACTAAGACTGTAATATATACACTCACAATCTCACAAAAAATCACTAACTAGGGGATGTTTGGTTAGGTGTGTGTAGGTCTGAAAAAACATTAGTAAAAGCTACATTCATTTTACATGCATATAATGCCAGAAACATGCTATTTGAAAGTACACAAATGCATTGAGCTAATGCACCGTAAGTGCGCCGTCCTTTTGCGTTTCTTAACACCCCTCACTGCGAAGGTGATTATAGGTTGAAATATTTTCCAAAAATGAAAATTTGCTGAAAATGTACGATTTAAGACCATTCAAAATATCGATGGTTTTGGGGTTTTTATCCAAAATTAGCATTACACCACTTGCTCACCAATGGATGCTCTGCAGTGAATGGGTGCCGTCAGAATGAGAGTCCAAACAGCTGATAAAAACATCACAAGTAATCCTCACCACTCACAGTTCAGCAATTAACATCTTGTGAAGTGAAAAGCTGCATGTTTGTAAGAAACTAAATTATCATTACGCCGTTTTAAAGGGGTCATATAATGCGATACGAAGCGGAGTCCAGCACGGGGTCGCCACATGTGGTTGCCGCAAGCCTGCCGGCCGCGCCGTTCTCTAGCCCCCGGCCTCTGCTCACTCTAGGCCTCACATTTCATTACACCAAATACACCAAATAATGTTCTTTTTAGCAACATCATATGACCCCTTTAACTTCAAACCATCACTTCTGACCAAAATATCAGCTCATAATCCATAATAACGCTTCCTCCAGTGAAAAAATCCATCCACTATTGTTGCCCTCTCACATCAAAATCCACAGATATATTTTGTTTATAGCCGATTTGGTCTGTTTTTGCATGCAAACTTTTTCAACTGATGAAAGGCACCCATTCACTGCAGAGAATCTATTGGTGAGCAAGTGATGTAATGCTACATTTCTCCAAATCTGTTCAGATCAACAATCAAACTCATCTATATCTTGAATGGCCTTTAGGGTGAGTATAATGTCAGATAATTTTAATTTTTGATTGAACTATTCCTTTAACTAACTTTCTCAGTGAGAATCTTGTCACATATTATGAAATTCAAAACCAACAAGTTAAGCCAAGCAACTCTGTTCATATAATGTGTATAAGAGTATGAATCAAGTTTAAAACTTACTTGCTTGGTTTTGTTGGGGTCCCCAAAGCATTCATGTTCTACGACATCCACCTGCGACAAAGAGAGACAGACAGAATAAATGATTAACACCAAACTCCACCACAGGAAATGAAACATGGCACAGCAATTACAGTAAAACCAATCATCATTATTGTACTGTAATGTCTCCCTAAACAGGGTGTGTCTGACCCGAATTCCGCAGTAATGCACTAATGACCTGTTAACTGCCTCTTTAACTTGTCAGTTTACTTTGTCTTAATCTCTCACTAATCATCATGCTATTTTTGTTTTCCACACCTCCACCCTTCTCTCTTTCAAAGGCCTTTCCATTGTTTCTTTCTTTCTCTGTCTTGGCCGCTGTGAATAATTAATCTCTGTGTGACTCTTGAGGCACATGACTCCTTTGAAGAACCGTAAATGCATCAAACAGAGCATGAACCGACTGTCATCCTGTCTGCAATTTGCTCAGCTCTTCAATAATCAGTATGCATGTATTATTTGTTTTCAAAGGTCAAATTTATGTTGTCTAATCACTCTGTTGATTGAAGTAGCATTAACTTTTTCGTAATTTGAGAATAATGTTATTTAGATTTTAGCGTAACGTTTAGCAGCATTTTACAACAGCTTTAAGGCCTAAGAATTTAGAATTGGAACTACTAAACTGCTTGGAACTGCTGCTTTAAAATGCATCATGTCATCCACATTATTTGACTTATTCAAAACTAAAACTTACCCATTTAGGAATTATTAGTAATTTTTGTGGGGCGAAAAATCTTTAACAGTTAAAATAATATTGTACTTCATTGTACACACTTCATTGTGAGAACTTGCATTAAATACTAATAACATCAAAATGACGTTCCGTTGACGTTTTAGGAACATTTAAAAACATATATGCAACCTTTATGCAATGTTATCTCAAGGTTTTCTAACATTTCCTGTTACACAGACAGTCTTCATCACTATCTGAGCTTATGAAGTGTATCAAATGCCTCACTAAGCCTGTTTTACCACGGCACCGGGGTGTGATGAACCGCAGTGTTGTATCTGCTCTGCTGTCCGCTGTCCCGTAAAGATGCTGGAGCAGACAACAGCAGGCTGGCAGCCCAGTCTGAAACAAGACCTGCCTCTCCTCGGGACACGGACATTTTTCAGACGCTTAATTAATTACACACTCTGAGGCTTTACACACAAATAAACTCCCTGGCTCTGAACTTAACTGATGAGAGGGCATGTGTCTTTCTGGATCGCCGGAGAACCTGTGTCTGTGTTTATAACTGGACTCGTTAATCAAACAATATGCCTGTAAAATCCCTAGAAAAAACATTGTTTGTAAACAAGCAGAACTTTATTTGCATGTTAGTGGTGTTCAATAAGATGATATGAGGGACGCCTATATAAATAAATATTTTTTCTAATACACAAAATTAGGCTTTAATTCACCCTAAACAAAAGGTCAGAGGTCATTGTATAATTCACACAGTGACCTCAATAAATGATAAACAACATGAACATCATCAGCTGAGTAGATGTGGACTATAGACTAAACACGTACACTCAATCATAACAGTATGGCCGTCATAGTAGTATAACCATAAAATATTAGTCACTTCCAGAATGAGATGAGGATCAACATAAAAGGACTTTGAACTCGTGTTTGTGGAGTCCACCTGCTTTTAAAATCCTTGAGGAAGGTGTGTCAGAGGTACAGGAGACAGTCTGACTGATGCCAAGGCTGTCTTTCCCATTACTACTGAATGAAATGATCATGACTCATTTCAGTGACATTTGACCCTGAACTCCACATTCACTGGATTCAGAAACTCAACAATCATTCAGAATGTCATACCATACTACTATTTCTACAGTATGCCATAAGGATGCTGTGTAAAATATGCCAATTTTCCGATTGCACATGACACCTAGAAGACCTTCTGAATTTGCTAAAATGTGCAGTATACATCTAGAGCACACTGTCTAAGGTTGTGTATCCCATAATGCAATGCAAACAACCTTCCATTTCCAGTGCAACGAATAAACCTAAAGCAAACTCAACTGCAGTTTTCAACATATTCAACATAGCCACCTTGACTCTATTAATTAAATGGACAAAAAGATGTTATTTTAACAGATAATAAGATTAAAAATCCAAATGCAAAAAATGCATATGTGTGTGTTATTTAAACTTTCTGAATTAAACATGTAATGAGGACAACTTGCTTGTAATGTTTACTGTGGTATACTACATACTATTTTGAACACTATTTATAAAAGCTGATAATAAGATTAAAAATCCAAATGCAAAAAATGCATATGTGTGTGTTATTTAAACTTTCTGAATTAAACATGTAATGAGGACAACTTGTTTGTAATGTTTACTGTGGTATACTACATACTATTTTGAACACTATTTATAAAAGCTGATATATATATATAATGCACAGAAAGAAGATTCTGAACGCAGACATAGTCTAGTCTTTGTTTGTGATGCTCTCCATCAAAAATATACATTTGGTCAGATTGAATGCCCATGCTTAAAACTGCCCCCAAATGTGAGCTAAATCTGACCAAAAAAAACCCTTTGGGGACATTCAGAAATGTTGTTATTTGGAAAACAATTCATAAAAGTAATGTCTACAAATTCTAAATTCTCTTTTTAAGCATGCTGTAAAAAATCACATTCTATTTTAAAATTTGAATGAACTATCTGATGTAGAAAATATTGAGATCACAAAAAAGTGTAAATAAAAACAACTTTTAGGTAATTTAGTATGAGCAGCTTATAATTAAGAGAAACAGCGCTTTAACTGGAGCAAAACTACAAATATGGACACTGCATATAGGCTAATTCTGTCATGTGACACAACATTTATTTCCAATTAAGACCTTTTTCTTGATAAAAGTGTTGTGAATCTTGAATGCGTTTGAATAATTTTATTTTGCTTGTTTGGTCAAAACATGGAGAATTGTAACGATGTGTCAGTTAGAATTACAGCATCTATAAAACACCTATTTATAGTGGTTTTGGATATGTTTTAGTTTTAATTATTATTAGTGATTCACCATTACTGTGATTAGTGTTCCTCTTGATTTGGTTTGTTGAATTTAATATTCCTTATTTTAATAAGTTAAAATAGAAGGTGTTTAAATTTCAACAAATGCTTAATACACTTGCTGAGGAAAGTTGATTCAATTTAAAATATTGTGAGTAAACAAGCCAACAAAAAATTAGTTGGCACAGCTATTGAAGTTGAGAAATCTCAATAATGCTTTGCAGCTGGTTGCTTTATTTTTTTAAAACATCTCAGCTTTCTTTGCAATCAAGGGTTTGAGTTAGTACTGTACGTATGTAGCCTTTAGTATAGCTTTATGTAGTATAAAATCAATAAAAGTCTATGGTATATCCTTATTTAGATAGCTAAGCAAACGTGTGTGTGTAGATGAGTTTGTGAGACAGATTGCAGTGCTCTGGTTTTATTGCAGTGCATCTCGATGACATAGTTGCACATCCAGAGTTTGTAATCTGTGGTGTATCTCTTATCACAGTGTTTTATTCATTGGCCTTAATCTGGATGATATCCGGTATCAATGGGATTGTTCGGAGAAAACAAAACTGATGCTACGAGCCTAAATGCCTAAAAAGTAACTCGAAACTGTCCATCCTTCAAAAAAATCATAAGATCTGTTGCATGTTCACATTAAACATTTACTTGAACAGCAATAAAACGAGAAGTGTGTGTTTCAGTAAAGCACATTTTAGCTTCACTTTCCAACGTTTTAGTACCTGCTCAAAACCAAATTAAAGCAAATTACCTTTGTTTTTACATGATAAACTGCTCAGAAATGTCAAACTCGCTGTGATAATGATGGTAACACTGCCATTCGGTCAATATTCAGAGAGGTCTGTGTGTAAAAAGCAGATAAGAGCCTCGTCAAATGTTCTCACTGACGTTCACACAAAAGACACATGAAAACATGAACAACGGTTTACTTCAAATATAAACTTTAATTTACTTTTCAATCACCTCGTGTCAATAAATGCCAGCTACTGTTGATTGTTGCTTTACGATTGAAAGCAATCTGTCCATTACCTATCCATTCATCTCTAAGAGAAAGAACTAGACAAATACACACTACAACAGACCACTTAAGCCAGACAATAAACCGCCCACTTTGACCAATCAGAGACTTGTATAGAAAACTATATATAACAGGCCATTTGGAGTCATACAAGCACTATGGGACACAGAGGGACGGTTTCCCGGACAGAGATTAAGCCTAGTCCTAAACTGAAATGGCCACTTAAACCAGATTAACAGAAATCTGCTTTCTCGGTCGTGGTTTTAAACAGTCTTAGACTTGGTCTAGTCCAGAATTTAATAGGCTGATTTCCTGGAGGAAGACTAGAGCTACTTCAGGACTAAATTGAGGCTTAAATTAAACCTACCAGGAGGTAGGTTTAACTTCAGATTAACGTGTGTTTCCAGTCTTTATATATCAAAATTATAGGAACCCTTGGTAGATATGAACAAAGAAGCCTGTGAAAATAAATCTGCACTGTTAATCATTTTGATTTTTTTTTTATTAAAACACACAAAACCCTAACCTTTCTTAGAAGTAAATTGGAAGTGAAGGGAAATCTCATTTTAAAAGAAGTGTTTTTCTTTAATACACATTGGCCACAATTAATGTCACCCTTTTATTCAATACTTTTTGCAACCTCCTTTTGCCAGTTTAACAGCTATGGGTCTTCACCTGTAATGCCTGATGAGTTTGAAGTACATCTGACAAGAAATCAAGAGACCATTCCTTCATACAGAATCTCTCCAGACCCTTCAGACTCCCAGCTCCATGTTGATACTCTTTCCTCTTCAGTTTTCTGTAGGGTTCAGGTCAGGGAACTGGGACGGCCATGGCAGAACCTCAGTGACTCATTTTTGTGTTGATTTTGATGGTCCTTTTGGATCATTGTTCTGATGGAAGATCCAGCCACGGCCCATTATAAGGCTTTCTGACCCGAAGACTCAACTATTTTCTGTAATTATCCAGCT